TTGCCAAGATATCAAGTATAATACAGTTGAGCAACTTACAATTCTGCTCCATTGAAATTCCCATGCTGTTATACATAGCAGATGATCAGTACATCCAGCAGATTATCAGCAGTGGAATCACCATATGAAAAGACACTGCCACGCTTCAAACGATGAATATTCCATGCTTTGAGAACGCCTGAATATATTCTAAATATGCCATTGATACATTTTTCCCTTCCATGACAGATTGGAATAAGATGTGTAAATAACTTTATACACTTGTAGATGTGTGCCACCTTTTTTTTTTCAAGGAGTCCTTTTGTAGCATTGTAGCTAACATGAATTGCACAGTGCTTTGACATATGAATTACCTTATTTTGGACATTCATTTAGCATAGAATTTCCAGAGGAGTTCACTAGTTGCCATGACATGAACATTTACTAGTTGCCAGGACACTCTCTTATTTGTTCCTCTATCCTCTTACTTGTTTCTCCTATATAGAGACATAATCTCTACACAGGCAGCAATCATAATAGCCATTCACAGGTTTATCCTCCACGCATTTAATTAACTTTGTTGCCTGGATGAAATTGCTCGCTTTAACAGCCATCATTCCATTTTGTGGTAGCAAATTCTGTTACCAAGTTACCAAATTGCCTCTGCTTAAGCGAAAAGCCATTTTCTCTCAACCTCACATTTTCTCAATCGACCAACCGAAAGATTTTGAATGCTATTACATGGAGGAAAGACCACATATTCTGTGTTGCATGGAGTTGTTTTGTCCCCACAACCACTAGAAAGGTCTGTGTATGTATATGTGTATTAAAAGGAGAGTCTTGCTTGTCTCCCAATCTTTGTTACCTATTAAAAGAAAGTTTTGATATTAGAATGCTGATTCCTTACTACATTCCCTGTTTTCAAAACCTTCAAAATTATTAAAGAAATACAGTGTGTAATTAGTTTTATCTTTCATATGGAAGGCAGCTGAGTTTTAAACAGGATGCAGCATAATATAACCCACTTATGCAGACTTGATTTAAAAGATTGAATTATACATAACCTGATGATGCAACTCAATATTTTGAAGTACAAGAAAACACTAAAATATTAAACTCTTGGGGGTATAATATTAAATATCATGGGGGTAAGGTTTAGTTCTTTACTAAATGGGCTTATGACTTTTCTAGGCTGATTCTGATATAAAGTACTACATAAAATGGCTTTTTAAGAATTGCTATAATGGTGCGATGACATATAGAATTTGGATTGAAATTCAATCCTAATTATTCAAAATTATTATTACTCAGAGCAAAATTATTCAGAGCAAAAGAGGGGATTAAGAAAACCATTTTTCATAATCATTGTAGTTTTTTTAGTTACAGTAAATCATATTTGAATCACAACTGCTTTCCAATACAATTTGAAGATGACGAAGGAGGGGAAGCCTCAAAACTTCTTCCTAGACTACAATATGCAAATGCATCTACTGGGTCAACATAACATGAAAAGAAAATTGTTTACAAGAACAAAAAACTAAAAATGTCACACATGATATGTTATTATCAGTTGTGGAGTCCTTGATGCTCATTGAGCTTAGTTGTTTTCTTTCAGATGTTTCATTACTGGACTGGGTAACATCCTAATTACCCAGGTAGGTAACATCATTATCAACTATTTACACAGTTTAAAATATTGAAAAAGAAAAAGTAGTAAAGTTATGTATAAAGATAGTACCTGAAAACAGGATGAAAAATAAGTATATAATGAACAATGGAAGACTCCTTTAAAAGAATAAAAATATTGTCTAATATCGAATAAAACAACCACACACACAAATAAACAAAAACATCCAGGATGAGAATTGCAAGACATTATAGTAATAGTGTTCATAAATAGTTTCTTTCTTTGCCTCCCATAGGTTTCCTTCCTAAAAACTCCAGCTGATGAGATTAATTTCAAGACACTGATTTGAGGAGAAACTTATCTGATTCCAATAATCCCCTTTCTACTACAGTGTTATGTAAAAAGGACAAAAATGTGAACTATTTCTACATCCCCCCCTTCTATTTTTTCCCTAGTCTTTGGAAACCTCAATCCAATTGGAATAAGGCAGAGGTCCACAGAGAATTGGAAACAGGGTAAGTAACATTTTTCCATTCTCATTTGATTGGGGACCACTATATTCCAAATTGCCCTATTCTGCATCATATTTAAGGCAGCATTGATACGGTACAACTTGTATCAAGTTGGAAGACAGCTTAAAAAGTAGCTTACAAGCTACAGCTTTTATGACAAGTACAATTTAATTACAACTAGTATCTGTGGGGAAAACCGCAAACAGAAGTTGAAAAAGGAATGTTTGTTAAATGTTCATCTGTCATTAAACTGCTTACACAAATAGACTATTCATTAAACTGTTCTATTATGTCACTCTTGCAGAAACATAATAGAGAGTATTAACTGAATATTGTAATTCTGGGTGGGTTGTTGCCATAAAAGTTAATACAAACTTTATCATCAACATTGATGAATTTTCAAATACTTGTCCCTTTTTGAATGTGCTTAGCACATTTATATAGCAAGAAACTATTTTTTTCTATATTTAACAAAACTTATTTATGTTCAGTTTAAATAAAATAGTAGGTAAATTGAAGTGCATTTTAAACATGAAATATGTATTCAGGCCATCAAGAATAATATGTACTGTACTTGTACTTGCAAATACTTTCCTTATTATTTTAGGATTCCCAGTTGTTGCTTTTCAAGCATCTGTATTGTTATTGGAATATGTATACACATGCCCATGTCCACACAAATACCTTTGCTTTCAGTAAAATTTTGGTGGTAAGGGAAGATAATGTATGTAGTTGGAAGGAAATTTTGTGTATTTTTTCCATTGCTGTGCATTTAGCAGAAAAAATATTTAACAGAACTGCAATCCAAATTTCTTCTGTTTGAACCAATAGTTTTCATTAAAGCTTCTAATGGGCATAGATAAATTACTTTACAATACCAAAATACACAAACACCAATTTTACATTTCTTTATTTGCACATCATTTTATAACATTTCATTACACATACTATTTTCTTACACAAAAGTTGATATGAACAATATCACCACATATACAAATCTAGAAACAGTAACATTTTTATTATATTATGTGTAATGTGTAAATTTAATGAAAGTGCACCTGTATTTATAGGACTGTTTATTTTATCACTTGAAGGATTTATCTGAATTTTATATATTTTATATAACTATCTGAATCTCCTTCCAGAAACTGTTGAAGAAGTAATTAACCTAAACCTTATAATTTATTATTTTCAGAGAATTATATACATCAGGTGCTATAGCATTTATATATACTGAACCTCTGTATTCCAGTAACACTATTAATAGGAGAAATATTATTCACTAGGCTTTTGAAATGTTTATCCCAAACTTTTCACATATTCTTGTCTGATGGTGTTTGTGTAAATATGTGGGCAGGATAATGAAACTGTTTCTTTTTACATGAATAATACCTATATTTTAGGGTTGGTGGGAATCAATCTGCAATTTTTATTGTTCATTTTTTCTAAAACAAATGGTTTGGATATGCATTTAAATGTTTCCAGATAGTTTTGAAATGGAGAATGCCAACTAGACATGATACTAAGAAGCTTGATCTAGAGAAGCTATCATAAGAAAAGTTAGTTCTGGTCTTGACAGAACCAGCAAAATAATAACTCACAAATTCTGTCTTGAATATTTTTGATAATTACGTATCAAAATTGACTGTAAAACAAAACTTATATAACTTTTAACACAAGGTATTTTTACACTTCTGGAAATTCAGAATTCAATCCCTTTATACCTGCTACTGGTATTATTATTTTTAAAAGTAACCCATTAAATGAATTTTAATTTGATAAAAAGAATTATCTACCATTGTTCACTGATAACGGACATTGTTTGGTTTCAAAAGATGTTAAGTCATAACTAGTCAGCAACAGAACAAAACTGATGATGCAGATAGCTCAATGACAGTGCCAGGCTTTAACACAAATTAACATGAAATAATTTCATTGAAAATACATTTGAAACTGCTAGGACTTTTTAAAATGTCTACGTGGTAAAAATTTTAGGAAAGTTTAAATGTTTACTGAGATAAAAGTTAAATGTTTACTTTTGTATAAGTGTCTTATTTCGCACAGCAACCAAACTAGACAGACACAGACTTCAACAGATAGTTAGGACTGCAGAAAAAATAATTGCAATCAGCCTGCCTTCCACTGAGGACCTGTATACTGCATAAGCCAGAATGTGGGCTGTGAAAACATCTACAGACCCCTTCACATCCTAGACATAAACTGTTTCAACTTCTTCGCTCATGATCACACGATAGGGCCAAATCAACCAGACACAAACATTGTGTCCCCCCCCCCTGCTATCAATCTACTAATTCCCACAACACTGTTTATGCCTAGGACAGTGGTGGGTTCCGGATCCCGTTCCAACCAGTACCCACATGGATGTGTGGGGTGTATGTGTCGTACCTGCCTGTGACGCCTCTGCGATGCTCCAGCTGCTCAGAGCATTGCACAGGTACCGTACACGTGTGTGCAGAAGTGCCAAAGTCTTAAAGGACAGGTAAGGAGCTCAGGCTGCTGGGTGGGCCCTCCGAAGCACCGTACAGGAATGGTACCCGGTGCTCCGGGCAGGCTCCGGTATGCCCGTACCGGGGCGTAGTGCCTGCAACCCACCACTGGCCTAGGATGTCAAACCACCAAGTAGGGTTGCATTTCCTATTATCCTTCTAAACTTTTCATCTTTCCTATTACCTATTTCCTTAGCTTCTTATGACTATAATTTTGTTGTTTGTGTCTCATGATTTATGTTGATTGCCTTTATTTAGCATCCTATTATGATTTATGTTGTTTGCTTATTTAGTATACTTTGCCTATCATTGAGTTTGTATCTTATATTTATAATGATTGTATTTTATTATTACGATAATGATTTATCACTTGTTGCTTGTATGTACAATGAGAACTTATGCACCAGAAACAAATTCCTTGTATGTCCAATCACACTTGGCCAATAAATAATGAATGAGTGCTAACACTCTACACAGAATTCATAAATTAATATCTTTATTTTGTAACAATTTTTTTAAATAGGCACATATTAAAAGACACTGCATAATTTTATATTTTGACAGGCCTAAATCTATGAGCTCATACTATCAATGATGTTCCTTTATTGTGGGGTCCTTCCATGAAAATGGTTTATTAGTTTTTAACAAACAACCCTATGTTTTCTTGTAATAATATATCATATGAAAAAACAGTATAACCTAAGTCTGGAATCCAGTGTTAGTGCATCACATGGCTACTTAATTCTAATAAAAATGGGAGCTAATGAGAAAAATATGTGGTTAGAAAAAATCTGAAAATACAGCAATCAATTTTTGAACATGTCTTGTAACATTACTTCAATCTTTATGTGAGAACAAACTGTTATTGAAATCCAGTTCTATAATACCAATTGTTCATAATGCATTTGTTCTTCCATGATTATGTCTTTGAATAAACATTTTATAATATATTTGTAATTATGAATAAATGCTCATTTGAATTTCTTAGTATGAACAAACCTTTATGCAGAAAAAACCCCAGTATTTTGGATACCATTATCATCAAATATGACTTGGCCTTCGAAGTAATGGAACCAAGTTGCAAGCTTTTACATCTGAATATCCATGTTTTGAAACACTACTGCCACTCTGCTTGGAATGTATACCTAAAGGGAGAATTAAAAAATGTCTTATTATTGATCCATTAAAAACCTTTGCGGTATGGGAAACATAAATCTAAATGAAATAAATTACTTATAATGTTAGATTACTTAATGTAACTGAAGAATCAAACACTTATTAAATATGGCATGGATGTAGAGTGAAATTCTGGATTTGTATTTAGTCTTAAGGCTAAGTAATTAATAGAATAATAAATTTTGCATCCTTCATATCCTATTACTTAATGATGAATTGGGTAATAGATTTAAATGAAATTAGAACTAGAGGATACATATGGTTTAAACTGATCCATGTCTGAATGTTTGTGAAGACATCCAGGCCAACATATTGCGTATTAGTAAATGACAAATTCTTACTATTCAATTTGATCACCATTGTATCATGAGTTGAATTTGTATTCTGCCTGAGATGTCATTCGGTGGAAATAAATACAGCAGAAGATATAGTAAAGCATTTAGTAACCTGCAAGTCAGAAGGCTGAAATGGGTCTCACTCATATATATTCAACAAATTTGTTGAACAATGGTAATGGTGTTGTTTCAACATTATGATTAATGTTCTTTTATTCTTTCACAGAGAAACTCTGAATCTGAAATCATTTTTAGGTAAGGAAAAAATAAATCTGTAACAGTGGATTTTATAACTTTCCTTTTACAGATCATCTTCTGAGTTATTTTTTAAAAATCTATGATATGTTTACAGACTGCAGAGTGCAACTGAGGAGAGGGGGGGGGAGGGACAAAGATAATTTTTCACTGAATAAGGACTATAACATGTCCAATGGATCATAGCTATTTGTCAGTGATCAGAGTGTTTTTCTCTAAGGTTTCTGTGATAAATAACTTCTACAAATCTGCTCAGCAGGAGAGGACATTTGACATATGCCTAAAATTGTGTACTCTGAACTTTACAGAAAAAGAAAATAAAAAGTAAAGGAAATTGTTAATGATAGTTGGTTATTGCAAAATATGTGATAAGAGGTTTATTTGCAAATATTTTAGCAAACAAAACCATATATTTACTGATACTCCAAATAGTTCAGTGGAGAAAATTTCATGTTCAAAATTAATGAGAAATAAGTAATAGACAATTATTAATGAAGGACAGGCAACCTGTTAATGAAAAATTGTCACTGCCAAAGAATGTGGTCCAGGTTGATGGTTTTTCTTTTTTAAAAAAAACTTAGCAATAGCTAAATGAACATGGGTTCTTCACCCCTTCTGTAATCCCAAGTATTATTCTTTCTGCCTTCTTATTCTATATGGAATCCACATACACTAGAAAATACTGTACTTTTTGATAATACTTTTAAAAATACTTAAAACAATATTAAGAAAACAAACATGTTAATATATCCATAAGTAAAAATAAATTTTCATTTCTCTTCACATCAGCTGAATGTCTTATTTATATTCCTTGTATATAATAACTTTTTGAAAAAATTCCACTTTTTTCCCCATTTGTAGAGAAACTTGGATTATATTATATGTTAGCATTTGAAGGAGCAAATTGGATTGGATTTTCCTGCCATTATTAACCACTAACACTATTTCACTTTCCACAGCAGGTTTTTTCTTTCTTTCCAAAGACTCTGAAAGCAGCCCGAGGGCAAAGATTTTGAAAACAAAAGGAGGCTTTTCTCTTTGCCTGCCTTGATTTTACAAAGTTTTTCTGCAGATAATTCTTGGTTTTTATCCTTACCTTTTTTCCAGCAGAAAGGGTTGCAAATGCTCCCCTCCCAATTTGGGGACTATCCATCCCATTAACCAGAATGGATTAAAGATAAATTCCTTCCTTTTCTATTCTGCTAGAGGGCTGCAGAGCCAACCAAAATATGAGTTGGTTGGAATGGAATTTTTTCATATCTTTGACTTATTTTTTACGTTTCTGGAAATTATCCTTATATTATACTAAAATATAATTAACCAAAAAGCCATAAGTGATTTCTTTCTTTCTCACCTTACCACTAAAAATAGGAATATTTTAAGATGGTTTGCTTAAGAATTGTTATGGGAAAATAAAAAAACTTGAAAGGGTTATAGAATTAATCTTTGCTTTCTTCTAAAATGCTAACCCCCAAATAGGTCTTTGATAGGCAATGAGATTTCAGTGACTACATTTCCTTCTTTTAATATAATTAAGCAATAATGAAAGGATATGAGTTTTCTCCAAGCTCCAAATTTTTGAAAAAAATCATTGAAATCTTCTTTAGTACAGTCATCTTATTGTTATTAGGATTTTTCCTAGAATATTTTAATCCACGTGTTATGGTTATGTGGATATTGTCTTCCATTCTCAAGAACTTGTTCCATTTAAATGCAGACTACTTTTCTATTCCACATGAGTTTAATTGAATAAATACCAAATTAAAAAAAAGAAAGATACATAATATGGAAAAAGAAGGAAAGCTACAATGAATACATGAAAAAAGGGAAAAAATTCTTTAACATTGTTGAAAGAGTAAACATGGTGTTAAATTCAGAAGTGCATCAATATTAGTAGATGCACCATTGCATCCTAAAAGAAACAGCTTTGCTACTGCAAGGTCAGTGAAACTCTGACTCAGCCATCCTCATCATGCCCGTTTAAGAACAGCCAATATGCCTGCCACATCAATTTAATTGAATGCAGATTCAAGTAGCATTAATGGAATATCAACATAAATATATTTGCTAACATTTATTCTGGAACATACTTAATTTGAATTTTAACATGACTAAATATCTACTTTAATTGATGTTTAAACTACAACATATATTTTGTAGAAAAATGTCAATTATTGCTGCATAATTGATAAAACAACAGCTAATTGAGAATGTGTCAAGTTGTCGTATCATATTGAGCAAAAGCAAATATATATCATGCTTGAAAATATGTAAGAGTATAAAGTTGAATTTCTTCACTCCATTGAGAATAAGATGTGAATGCACAGTACACTACGTTTTGTGGTTTTTACTAGATATACAAAAGTGCAAACTATAGCTGTGCTCAGTGGTGAAATTCAATTTTTTTTACTAGTGGTTCTATGGGTGTAGCTTGATGGGCAAGGCAGGGGAAGGATACTGCAAAATCTCCATTCCCACCCCAAATACCAGAAGTGGTATTTGCCAGTTCTCTGAACTACTCAAAATTTCTGCTACCGGTGTTCCAGAACCTGTCAGAACCTGCTGAATTTCACCCCTGCCTGTGCTCAACTTGAATTGGCAAAAGTTGAATTTCTTTTGGAAAATATTTGCACAATTGTTTTGTGATTCAATGTATATGGACTTTTATCGAAAAATGCAGTAAATAAAGTAAAAAGTGTAGCATAAGCCATCATTCTACTATTACCCATTTCTATAGTTAGAGTAGATTAAAGGGAAATTCATTGTACATTAAGAAATACCAAAAACAAATTGAATCAACAAATAAATCAACAAGCAAAAAGAAACCAAATTTACAACACCAAAAATCCAGTGTAATAATTAGAAATTGTTTGGTATAGTATTAACATTACTAAAGTAATAACAAATGACTTCAAAAGAGATGAGTCAAGAAAGAAGCAAAATTGCCAAAGGAAATAGGTATAGGCAAGTCTCTTTGACAGATTCACAAAGCCATCACTGAAACTAAAAGATTCTTTATCAGCTGTTGAAATATCCTTTGGAATATATCTGTTGTAATCCCTATCTGCTCTGTTAAAAATGTCCTCTTTCCTATTTTCCTTGCTTTCCAGGTTGTAGTCATTTTTGTCTTTAAATTGGTAATCCATATACAGATGAAACTCGAAAAATTATGAGCTGTAAGCCATAATCATCCCAATTATGACAAATCACGGCTTGAACTATCTTGCTTTGCATGTAATGAGTCTATCTCATATATTAGTTCCATTACTGAAATAAATGAACTTTTGCACAATATTCTAATTTTTTGAGTTTCACCTGTAGAAGTAGCATCACAAAAAAGATCCTTTAAAAATATTTTAGTCCTTAACTCTTCAATTCAATTCAGCACTTCATAGGTCCTCACATGGTCTTTCTGAAATGCCACTTATCTCTTTGTCTAAAAAGCTTAGCCATTGAGTCCTGTTATAAAAGTTAAACAGTCTTCTTTTTATATTATTTTTATATTATATTTTTAATTAAATACAAAGTGGAATACAATATTGAACAGATGTCTTAAGATGTTTTAAGTAACCCTACTTCCAATTTGTAACATACATTAATGTTTGGTGAGGTGTGGTTTGTTTTACACATTGGTTGAGGCACGGAGATGAGGATCTTGCTTTTTTTTTTATCATGCTACTATTTGGCCTACACACCAACTTTACCTTTAAGTAGTGTGTATGCTGGTGTCCTCAGCTTTGGCCATCACTTTCATTCAATGCATTGAGTTGCTAAGGAACACAAAGGAAAGGATGGCCCATACTCAGTTGGGTCATATTGTAGTGCGGTTATCATGCCATTAGCTGGTAGCTAAATTCAAACTATATTAAATGCTTGGTTATTAAATTTTTTATCATGCTTTCTTTCACATGCATGTTAAATTCATTTTTACAGTTATTCCAATCTCTGTATACATTAATTGTATTTTGCATCTGCACTATGCTTGTCATGTTGATAATATGTTATGGTTAATAAGACCATAACAATTATGTGAGGGTATCCGCTGTATATTAATTTTTCATTACATTGGTAGAATAGTAAAATTTGGGGGAAACCACTTTTTCTGTGCATTGAACTGCATTGAAATCACTTTCCCACACTAGGATTTCACTGTGATATATAAACTACAGTACAAGAATGTACATATATAGAGAAAATATATGCAGAACAGTATATACAGAATGATCCAGGATATTAAAGTGACTGATTCTTGTTTACCGATACATATTCTAGGATCACCAAGAAGATTATGAATATAAATATGACCATAGTTGTCTATGGAGATTCTCAGTCATCCAAGTCATAGTTGCCCCAAAGGTGCTTCTTCCAGAGGCAACTAGACTTTCTTGTTTTTTCTCTGAAGACGTTTTTATTTCTCATCCAAGAAGCTTCTGAACTGAACAGCTTCTTGGTAAGAAGCGAAATGTTTTCAAAGAAAAAAACAAGAAAGTCCAGTTGCCTCTGGAAGAAGCACATTTGGGACAATTATGACAATAGTTGGTTTCTGACACTTTATAGTATTTATTTTGTTTATTCATTTTATTGATATCACACCTTATTTTTTTTACAAGCAACTCAAAATGGTAAACATATCTAATATTCCTTCTTATTTCCCCACAACAACCCTGTGAGGTGAGTTGGGCTGAGAGTGAGTTTCACCCACTTACTTTTCATGGCTAAGGATCTCCAGTTTCTAGCACGATGTCTTAATCCCCAGACAAAACTGGCTCAAGTATATACAATAAAAAATATGTAGCCTATAAATGATTGGATCTGAAAGTGCCTTAACTGATGAATAAACTGTTTTGTTTTATGTTATACAAAAAATTCACTATGTTTGGATTTGGTCCACAAATTTATTCCTTTACGTTCCTTTTTCATTAGTACCTAAACTAGACAAAATAAATTACATGGTGATATTGATGGCAAACATAGATAGTAACATATAGATGTGGCTTATTTACAACAATTCCTAGATAATTTGTTTAATATGTTTAGGCATGCTTCATCTGTGCATGATGATAAAATAATGCTGCTATTGTCCAGTTGTACCAGAGATAAAATAGGAAGAATGAAAAACAACAAGGAAGGTTAAGTTTATCTAAGATGTTCTTTCACAGAATTGTGATTAAAAACATAAGGGAGAAGTATTATTTGGGAAATAGCGCTGCTTTGTGACAAATGTTGATCAGATTTTTTTATTCTTTATTAAGTCACTAAGAAATCTCAAATGAGAAGAAAGTTTACAAAACAAATGTTGATTTAAATAAAGAACATGATAAAATAATTGCAATTGAATGATGTAATGCTATGTACAAACATGGTACTGGACTTGGTTGTAGATATTACAAGTTGGTCTATGATGAAAGTAAAGCATGCATAACAATGGATGGAATACTTAGCAAATGGTTGAGTGGAACAAATAATGATGTGTGGTTGGACAAATTTATGAGCATCCTTGTGATACTATTAGAACTATGTTGTTTAGGAAAGTGTATAAATACATCTGAAGCCACATTATTGGAGGAGAGCACAAAATGATTTGTAGTGAATGCTAGTATGACTGAATGATAAGAGTGTATGCGGGAAATTGATATGATAATCTATATATACAAAGCAAGATTTTTTTGATGCTATAGGAAAATTTGGAATGAACAAATGTAAGTTACACTACTGGTAGTAGAGTATTCTAGTAGTGCTGAATGAACATTCATTGAATACAAAAGTGAGTGACTACTACAAAAGAGGTACATTTCAAAACAAGTGTATGAAGGGAGAACAGATGAATAGGAGGGAGAAGAAAAGCAAGAAATTTTGGTGGAACAAAGTTGGTAAGTTCTTGAAGAAAGAGGGAAATGAGAATATTAAAAAAGAAATGGCAACATATAAATTGGCATATGGACACGATAGAAGAAAGAATGTTTTCAAGAATTAAAATATACGAAGTAAACTAGAATTATGAGTTCTATTGGAGTAAATTAGCTGTATATTATTTTCTTTTATTATGTCATGTTTTAAGTGCATTTTTTAATTCCTTTTTGTGCTTCGTTTAATGTTTTTTACCCTGAATTTAAAGATAGTCTAAGCTGTGAAGACATTTTCCCAGTGAATAAAAGAAAAAGGAAGGAAAGAAAAGGAATCCAACATTATTATAGTCTTGTTACATTTTTTTGGACTGCATTTTATGTTTAATATGATCAAAATTTTGCATTGAATAAATTTTATAAGAATCTTCACATAAAAATTAAAAAAATAAATAAACAGTGCATCAAATGTGAGTTTACCCCCATATTGTTTTATTGTCTTTGTTCTTACAATTAAAACTTAAAAAGAAAATAAATTATGCTTGCATTACTAAATTAAATACTTCTAATACTTAAATTCTCATATTGTATAAGGCTGTGATGGCAAACTTATAGCAAGCATGCCAGGGGTGTGGGCATGTGCGCTGTCGCCTGCTGCTCTTGTGGTTTCCAGTGTGCGCTTGCATGGGGGTCAGCTAGTTTTCATGCACACTGGAGTGCTCGAAACCCAAAGACCAGCTGGTCGGTGCACACTTACGCATCGGCTAGCTTGTCTTTGGCACTCCAGCGCGCACAAAGACCAGCATGCAGACCAGAAACCCAAAGGCCAGGTGGCTGGCACACACATGCATACTGGCCAGCTGGTCTTTGGGTTTCTGGTGCTCTGGCACACCTGCAGGCATACACTTTCTGGCTAGTGCCAAAACTGGTACAAGAGATAAACTAAAGAAGTTTAATAGATGATCGCAGTTGATTAAAATATTAGCAATGAAAATCACAGGATGCTTACATGCAAAGAATTAAACATGCATATTATTGGTATATAGAATATTAAAAAACAGGAACTCAGGAAAACACAGAAATAATTTATTAAATTTATTATATGCATATTTGGAAGGTCAGGATTTTTATACTTATGTCATATAAATACTTTTATGACAATTACCGTATTTATCGGCGTATAACACGCACCGGCGTATAACACGCAT